AAACACAATAATCAAGTGTGAAGCGTAAGTATCTTTGTGGGCGGGTCTGTTGCTATTTTACCGGCGGGATAAATGACTCTCGCGCCCGACGCAAGTTTAAAAGGTGTTGGTCTGAAGTAGCTTCATTATTCATAGGTGTGGTTTGGGCGTAACGGGAAACAAACCAATAAGAGCTTCGTGTGATGAACGAGGTGTGATTGTTCCATGGCGCAATACTATTATAACACCGCGTTTCAGAATCGGTTCACAGCCGAGGAGATCAATGTTCTCGTCAGATCCGTAAAAGAAAGAGAAGTGACATTGGGGATGGGACAAACACACCCAAATTAGCTTCGGTTTAATATGCATATAATAATTTGGGAAAATGTGTAAGCGGTATGCCTATTTTTCCCATCGTCATGGACAAAACAATGATTTCCCTCGTGTTTTAATATTTTTCGTTATAATATTGTGTCATTTGCAGATGACTGCGTCTGTGTAGATGAGAGTATCATCTACTGTGCGTGCGTGTTGTTGTTCACACTCTGTATTATGGCCAATCATGCGCATGTGCACTTAAAATAGCATCTGAATGTATGAGCAACGCGCCACTGACTTTAGACCAGGTTTTTTCTGGTCATTGGCGCAATTGTTTTCTGGAACTGCAAAAAATAGCACCAGGGATTGTTTGAGCCGAAACACGCCTCCTTTTTGCGCCGACCCGCCCAGTTCATTCCCTAGTTACGTGCGTCTGTGGAGGGAAAAGTCCGCAAAATAGGAATGATACATGCGTCAGTGTACGAAGTCAATTGCGCCGGGTGTATTATTTATATTTGACATAATTCCATTTATATTTAGTATTTTCCTTAAAAAAATCTAATTCACAGACATTACTTGGAAACGCCCACTTGTGACATAGAGTCAGAGTATAGAGTCACAGACATGTTATCGCCGCTTTACATATGTTTGCATGAGTTAAACTTACCTTTTGCATGTCCTATCAATGAGACATTCACTGTTTTGTCTTAGTCAACATGAAATGCTGTGCACAATATATTCAACAAAAAAATGTCTGGAAATGAATTTGGTGAAATACTGTAAAAAAAAATCTGTTATCACAACATTTTTTCTTTTGTTAAATCAACTTAAATAATTTATTTAGTTGAGATAACTTATTATTTTGAGTTTCTGATGATTAAATTAATCTCCTTCATTGTATTAACTCACTTTTTCCAGTTCAATCAACTTAAAATTTTAAGGCAACCAGGTTACTTACTTTTTTAAGTTAAACCAACAATATTTTTTTACAGTGTACTGTACACCTACACATATTTATTGACTAAGTAGTAGATACGTATATAAAGGTTGAAAAATGTTTATTTAGAAAATGTACCTAGCCTTAATTTTTTTGTTTGTTTTTCATGCTGAACATTTACACCTGACAGGAACAGGCCATGCATTAAATCTTTAGAAAACTCATTTCTTTCATTTAGTCCATTGATTTTTCATCATGTGCAGTATTTATGAGGCATGTGCGTCTTTTAGGCTTGCAAAATTTCATTATGTTTTTTATTGCAGTTTTATCGTTGCTCCTAATGCGCTACTCTCAACCTCCAATTATGCCTCCTGTGTTTACTGAAACTGTATTCATGGAAACGTGTGTTTGTTTGAGCAGAAAGACAGGGCGGCATTATTAGAAGTAAGAACATGAGCAAACACGACACAAACTGAATCGAACATGCTGTGGATTGATTGCATCAAAGCAAACAGAGCTGGGAAATTAATTTTGAATACAGAGAAATCTTGTGTACCCCTGTGTTTCTCCCAATGATTTAGAAAAATTAATTTAGCTGTCTGCTGTCATATTGTGTGTACTTTGCTGTTTGAGAGCACTGTTGTTACAGTAGCATGGCAATTTGAAACTGTAGCTTGCCAAGCTATAAGACACTCCTAATTGAATTAAGTAATCAGAGTAAAAAGAAATCAAATCTCTTTTCGGTTCAAACCTGGGTGACTTTACTTCATGAAGCACAAAAGGACAGATTTTAAAGAATTATACTGGTTGTGGTTGTAGATTCATTTGCTATGAAGATTTAAGATTCAAAAATATGCAAAAGCAGCAGTATTTGTTGAGTTGAATATATATTATAAATCGCATACACTACCATTAAAAGAAATCGAATAATTCTATTCAGTAAAGATGCATTCAATTGATCAAAAGTGACTGTAAAGACATTAATAATGTTACAAAACATTTCTATTTCAAATAAAGGCTGTTCTTCTAAACTTTCTATTTATGAAAGAATACAAAATCTATCATGGTTTCCACAAAAACATGAACTGTTTTCAACATTGATAATAATCAGAAATGTTTTTTGAGCAGCAAATCATCATATTAGAGTGATTTCTGAAGCATCATGACACTGAAGACTGAAGTAATGATGCTGAAAATTCAGCTTTGATCACAGGAATAAATTACATTTTTAAATATATTACAATAGAAAACATTTATTTAAATTGTAATAATGTTTCACAATGTATTTTTGATCAAATAAATGCAGTCTTGTTGGGCTGAAGAGAAGTGTAAATGTATTTGTATGTAAGAACAGCCTTTATTTGAAATAGAAATGTTTTGTAACATTATTAATGTCTTTACGGTCACTTTTGATCAATTGAATGCATCTTTACTGAATAGAATTATTTTTATTTCTTTTAATGGTAGTGTATGCAATTTATATCGTACCGACGATTGGCCCAAAAAGTAAGACATTTTAGTCAATAGGGTCATTTCATTTTATAGACCAGAAAAAAAAACCTGAGACCTTAAATATCTCTCTATATTTTTCTAGAAGAAGAAAGAGGTTTGGAACCATAAATTACGACAGAAATAAACTATTCTTTTGCGTTTCGAAATTTAGTAGCATCACCGCTGTTAGTCAGTAAAACGAGTAAATGGACATACATTTGTGTGTAAGGTTTTGGTCTCTGATGTTCACACACTTTTCAAAGCATAGAAGTCATCTCCTTTCCCTCCCACTCATCCAAATGAAAGACTTTTGAAAATTAAACCGATAAAATTAGCACCACTGTGCTTCTCTGCCCTTTTGGTTAGCATCTTCATTTATCAAAAACTAATTTAATTTCGTCCACTTCAACCCCCAAAAGCTTTGTACCCAGTCTGAGCGCTGCTAATGTTGGCTTTAAACAGTCTTTCAGCTGTTTGTCCTTTCAGCCAACTATAATAGTCCACGTCGAGCACTCTCCAGTGGCATTAAGACATGATTGGCGTCCAAAATGAGGGTCAAAGTTCGTCGTACAGGTTTGTGCTAGTTAGCGTTGCGTGTGTTGTGTTGTCGCCCGCTTGGGCTTTTCCATTTTTCCGGGGCTTAGCCATGCTTCAAAAGCCTTCCTCGACGAGCCGCGGGCACCTGGCACCACTTCTCACGTCGCCTCTTCAGCCTGATTACCGCGGTAGAAGAGACCCTCGACGATCGGCCTGCTCCCGCGAGCACAAAACGCTAACTACCTGTCTGCGTGACAGCCAATCACCTCGCCATACAGATGCATGCGCGTTTCTCCCAGTCTTCCAAAGACAACAGCTTTACGACGTCCATCAATCTCTCGGCCTGATTGTCAGGTGTAATGCGTTTTTAATTGCACGGGGAAAAGTGAAAATGGCTTCACTAGTGTTTTCTATATGTCAGCCTCTATCAGCAGTGGACAGATGCTGCGTTCGGCTGCTTATTTATTTATTTTGTTGTCGGCGACACAAAAGTGCCACACATCACTCATTGTCTTTCTGCGCTCAGATTGAGCACCATGCTAAAAATGGCTTGAGACAAAACGTCTCTTCTCAGCACAAGATCTGCTAGCGCTCGCACAAAGACGCAGGGAGACGGGCTAACCGCTTAATGTGTTTGTCAGCGGGCCGATGAGTCAGGTTGATGTTGTGCTTCTCGGTCTTCCAGGTCAAAAGGAGCCTGATTGGACATAGTGAGCTTGAAAATAGGACTGATGTAATGATATACTTTGTTTTTGGGAGCCAGAATATTAATTGAAAAGATGTTTTTTTAACCCTCTGGGCTTCTTCGGTCAAAAATGACCGAAAACTGTTACGTTTTGAAATGTTTAATTTTTTTTGCTTGATCGGATCGGGCTGAAACTTGGTGACTTTTGTTGTATTACCTATATGAACACACAAAAAAATCAAGGAGATGATTCTGATTTGTTAAAGGGTCGTAAAAAAAAAAGTCACACTTAGCTTCCTCCCGGTCAAAAATGACCGACATAGGAAATGAATGGGAAATACGAAAAAATAGGAAAACTCAGAGAAACTTTTGGTGGTACAAGCTACAGATCAGCAACTGTGCAGAAAAAAAGTGTACAGCAATGAAGGGGTGATGCTCTAGAACATCAAGAGTGCAAATAAGACCACCCCCCCCACACACACACACACACACACACACGCACACAAACACACACACATACACAGATAAACTGGCAAGACTGCCCCAGGAAATTTGTAGAATATGAAAAATAAAATCAATAAATGAGAAAAAAAATCTTGCTCAAATGCGCACGCACACGCACACAGACATGAGAAATCATGTCTAAACCAACAAAAAGAATCAAAAAGCCTTTCTATGTATTTGAATAGGAAGCTATAGGCAGCCTACAGGCTGTACAGGACATTGCACATATGTAACTATTTTTAAAAGCCACTAGGTGGCGCTCTTCTACTTGAATTATTTTTTTTTTATTAGCTGACACTCTATTTTGATGTGAAATGTTGTATTTATTGAAAAAAAATAAAAAACAATATAAAATAAAAATATGTATATTAATTCTAATGGAAAAAATAGCTCATAAAAATTATATAATTAATGCAAAGTATCATAAAAAATTCTAAAAATTCTAAATAATAATCATAAAATATTATAGAACTAAAATATATTTGAATGGTTATCCTGGGAAGAAGTAAAGTAAAATTTTAAGGCTTCGTCCGTTTTTGACCGGGAGGAAGCTAAGTGTAACCCATTTACGAAGTAGCCCAGAGGGCTAATATTGAATAGTTTATTGAGCTCTGTTGGTAGTGACCCGTTTTCGGTGCATGTCTCTTTAAATGATAATGAGCAACTGCTCACCAAACTCCTCTCTTCCATGGGGCGTGTGGACACAAGACAGGTAAACTGCTGCCTTGGCGGACAGAATAATGCTAAGATGCTAAGAAATACGGGAAAAATATAATATATGCTAATGAAATATGAGAAATATGCTAATACGGGACGGTCCGTCTGTGGTCGCGGGCGGAGCGTGAGCGATATGACATCATATTGCTCATGAAATCCGAACGGCTTGATTATTGAGAGTGTTTAGACTTTTTGAGGATTTAAAAAAAAATGAGTGAATGTATTTTTTTCATTGTATGGTGGTTTTGTTCGCACACATTTATATGCAAACACCATATAAAAGTGAATTCTGCATCCGATGACCCCTTTAAGGCATTGGTCCTGTTTTTTGTTCACACGGTCCGACTACATCAGACTTCGCACTCCCGCTCAATTTCAGTTCGCATCTGTACTCGGTCTGAGACAGCGCCCTATCTCTCAGTTTTCCGACAGCTGAGAGCCGTGACGTAGACGCTAAGCACCGAGTTTAAGATTGTATTTTAGGTTCGGGAAATCGAAAACGACCGCGGATATGGAGATGCGGGATGCAATTCGCTTTGTTATGGAGAATATTCCCTGCATTTGCAAACTGAAGCCCGAACAAGAAGTGTGTTGGTTAAACATTTTGAATGGAGGTGATGTTTAAAGAGTAACTAAACCCTAAACCAACTTTTTTTAGTTAAAGATCTGTAAGAATGGATCTTTATTAATACCAGTCATTGATTCGAGTAACTTTTTTGACATTGGTGTACAAAGTGTTTTATTTCTACAATATATGATGTAAAAACGTCTTAGTGCTGCCCTCTTCAGGTTGAACGGTGGCTACTGCAGTTGAATTTTCCTATTGGATGTTAGCGGTTCTTCGTGACTAGGGTTGGGTATCGTTTGAATTTGAATGATTCTGATTCCGATTCCGATTCCTTGTTTCGATTCCGGTTCCGAAAGATTCTCGATTCCGATTCTTTTAATAAGAGGCAGGGTCAAAAAAGCTTAGCTAACCTTGCTAAACAACGGTCTTTCTGAAGGAAATACTCCTTCTGTCACAAATAGTCCTTTTGTCACAAATTTTGCATTTTGCCGAGATTTCGTTATTTTTAGAAAAGTGAAGCCACACTTTGGACTGCCGATGAAAGCTACTCACGTTCGACTCGCGCGGTTATGCCAACACTTCCGGTAGACGCTTCTTCGTTGGTGTTGTTCAGCGGTTTCTTCTTCCGGTCGGCGGACTGTGAATATCGAAACTAGGAATCGAAATTTTAACTTTTGAACGATTCCGGGAAAAACGAAAAGTTAGTCCCGGTTCCAATCGATACTCGATTCTCAATACCCAACCCTACTCGTGACGTACTCACGTTTCAGCTCACCACGCTCTTGGCACGAGTTACGCCCTTTGCAGTATAAAAACCAGCTTGTTTCGTCAAAACCACTGTAGCGAGTCAGGAGTTGGAATTGCGAATATTGAAAACGATCAGGATAGAGTGTTTTAGCATCTATTTCTTCCCCTCTATCTCCGCTGGGGTCCGCCCACTTTTTCAGCATTTTTCAAATATTGCCAGTGGGTGGAGTCAGGCTCTGACCAGGGGTTTAGTTACCCTTTAAGTTGGAGAGAGAGGTGATTGTGTTATGTGATTGGCTTACGGTAACCAATGATTTGTTCAGCGCCTCTACCAGGCTAGCGCTCCAGGACTGATCCTGGCAATGTTACTAGATCCTCATCAATCCTGGGACAGGGATCAACGCTCTGTGTGAAAGGGCCTTATATCTCCCAATGATGTCTTAGTAAGATGATGTATAAATGATTAGTATGATCAAACCTCTGTAGTTTTAAAAGTTAGAATGCAATGCAATACAATGATGATTGAGAGATGACCAAATAAACCTCCCTCAAAAGCCTGATGCTTCATGTTTGATTTTAAATGTGATCTTTATATCTAAAAACAATATATGCTCATAATCAACTAAACCTCAGTCCAGTAAATGTTCATCTCAAAATATTACTAAAATATTAGGCTACTAAAAACGAAATATTTATTAAGTTTTTAAATGTAATTGTATTTAAATAAAAAAAAAAATTAAAATTAAAAAAAAAAAATTTATTAAGTTATTTTTACATTTACTATATTTATAAAAAAACAAAAAAAGATTTCAAAAGACATGAACCACTTAGCGTGTTTACAATAATACTAAAAGGCCTTTTTCAGTTCATCAGTTAAATGATAGTCGGCATGTAGTAGATTGTGCAACAGTTTTTTCAGCAGTTTTGATTGTGTTGACCATTTAGAGACCTTAGAAATGCAATTTTCAGATGTGATTCAGTAGCTTTATGGGTTACGATGCTAAGTTGGCTTAGGAACTTTATTACTCAGCTCTTTGTTGTAAATCATAATGATTTTTATAAAAGCAACTAGCTTAATGAATCTGGTAAAACCATTAGTAAGACTTCACGTTGTGTCTTTCATAAAATCACTATAGCCTATTTTTGTTTTATTTTAAATCAATTAATTGTTAATATCAGCACACTGACTTGTCTTTTTTACATCTGTTTAATAGGTACATTCAGGGAGCTTCTTCTCCAAAGGACATGATCATTCTCGTGGACGTGTAAGTATCCTCTCATCCACACAAGCACACTCTCATGTGCACATCTCATTAACACACACGGTCATCTGTGTTGATAAATCTGTAGTTGATCATGCGTCGACACGACAGCAGTGTGGTGCTCTACTGCCACCTGTTGGCTGAAAACAATATCATTCCATCTTATTAACCTCGTGCCTCAATATCAAAATGCTACCGTGTTCCCTGAAATATGACTTAGAGGTTATATGCAATGAAAAATGGCATTACCGTTGCCGATATCTCGGCTGCTGGTGGAGAATTTAAAATGTCCTGCGACTCTGATCTTATCTGACCTCTAAAATGCATCATCTAAAATACAGATTTTTTTTAAAGCTACTGGAGCTTATAAAAATGTAGTTTTAGGTGTAATTGAATGCATTATTGAAATAACCATTTTGTTGTTAAATGCCACATCTTCCACATTATGAATCATCAAGACCTCATTATAAAATGTTTTATTTATCAGACCTTAAGTGCGCATTTAGTCATTGGCAACACTGCTGCGTATTTTGACAAATAAGTGATTGCCTCAATCGTGCAGCCATTATGTGCATAATCGTCATAAAAAAAATTAATATTCTTAAGTAAACCTCAAGAAAAACTGCTTAATGGAGGTTAATTGGCACTCGCTGGCAATCATCCATAACCTTAAATAGATACCGATATCTGATTAAAAAATACACCGATCGCAGCTGTCGCTTTGCCAAAGTAATCTCATGCCAATCAAAAGCAGCATCGCACTGAGCGTTTCTGACAATCTTAGACTAATCTCATTGTGACGACTGGAGGCATGAGACAATAGTGCTGTCACCACGTCTTTCATTTTTCCCAGTGTGCTCGGCTTTATTAAACCTTCTAACTCTGGGAGCCAAATTACACATGAACTCGTGCTCTGTGATTGCTTTTTCAATAGCTGCTGTAGGCTATTAATACATCCAATTTGCAGCATTGAATTCAAATGCAGACATACTTTGTTTTTGAAGATCGACTGTCTCCATACTGTCTCTTTAACGTGCCGTCTACAATTGACTTTTGATGGACGTGGATGAAGGAGACACTTGCTTGGCAACGGCAGTTTTGGGCTCGTGTTTCTGTGCTGTGCCATTTTGAGACATGAATTGCTCAGTGTTTGTATTCAGTGCATGTGATGTGTTTAATGTGTGTTTGTAGGAGTGGCAGTGTCAGTGGACTGACCCTGAAGCTGATGAAAACCTCTGTCATCGAGATGCTGGACACACTTTCTGATGACGACTACGTGAACGTGGCTCGGGTAGGTGCACATGTTCACACACACTGATTTTTTTGAATAATACGGGTAAATAATAGGCCACATTTCATATTTTGAAATAATCATAATTATTATTATTTTTAATTGTATTATTATGATTATTGATTATTATTATAAAATAGTATTATAATAAATATTTGCATTGATGATATTATATATATATATATATATATATATATATTTATCGATATATATATATATATTATATATATATATTAGGGCTGTCAAACGATTAATCGTATCCAAAATAAAAGTTTGTGTTTACATAATATATGTGGGTGCACTGTGTAGAATTATTTTGTATATATATAAATACACACACATGCATGTATATTTAGGACAAAAATATTATTTATATATATATATATATATAAATTATAATTATAATTATATATAAATCTATATACAGTAAATACATGAAAATATTTCTTAAATATATACAAGCATGTGTGTGTATATATATATATATATATATATATAATAATTATACACAGTGCACCCACATATATTATGTAAACACAAACTTTTATTTTAGGATGCGATTAATATATATATATATATATATATATATATATATATATATACAAATTCTATATTTTTATATATGTAAATATAGTAGGTAAATGCTATTTGAGGTGAGGTTCTTTATACGGTATATTGCATGATTAGTGAGAATTTGCAGTAATTTTTGTAAGCTTTATTCATAGTAAACACATTTGAGAAGACACCAGCATTAATATTCCATCCCGTGAATCCTCTTTAAATGTGAACCTCTATGAAAATGTGGATCCACGTAAACATTTCATCTAGTGAGAGTTCATTTATTGCGAGCGCACAATAGCAGCCCGCAAAAGCAACCCACGCAAATATGCATGCACATATAGACAGACGCACACACATAATGAACATCGGCGTTTTGGAGACCCTCGGCATTAATCCGGGCTGATCCGTGGCTCTTAGTGTGTGTTTCCTAATCCCGGCTCTGAGAGCGCAAAATGAGCATCATAATCTGAGCCGGAACACGGCTCATTCTACATCCCGGTGAAGAAAAGCAGTCTAAGACCACATTAGGGTCGCTGTGTGTGTTTACTGCTGTTTACCTCCAGACGCTTACAGGAACATGAAATCGAAATTGACCCTATTGACTTTTTTATGGGTCCTATCATGCCTTTTTTCATGTTCAGCTTTCTTTAGTGTGTAATGCTGCTGTTTGAGCATGAAAAAGGTCTGCGATATGAATGCCACTGTTTCTGAACTCCCTGAAACCTGAAACCAGCCGACCAATCAGAGCACATTGCGCTTTTCAGGAGGAGGGGCTTCATAGAGACAGGAACTAAACAGAAGCGACAACAACATGGCGCGTGTAGTACGTCTGGACTCCTTTATACACTCTCAAAAAAAAAGCTGTCACTGAGGCTGTACCTTTTCAAAAGGTAAACTTTTGTCCATTTTAGGTGTTAATATGTACATTTTAGGTGCTAATATGTACATTTTAGGTGCTAATATGTACATTTTAGGTGTTAATATATCCATTTTAGGTGTTGATATGTACATTTTAGGTGTTAATATATCCATTTTAGGTGCTAATATGTACATTTTAGGTGCTAATATGTGCATTTTAGGTGTTAATATGTACATTTTATGTGTTAATATGTACATTTTAGGTGTTAATATTTACATGTTAGGTGCTAATATGTACATTTTAGGTGTTAATATATACATTTTAGGTGCTAATATGTACATTTTAGGTGCTA